CTTCGACGTGCGTTGGGACGACGACCGCCACGCGGCGCTCGGCGACGACGAGGCGCGGTGCCGCGCCTACGAGTCGCTCTTCTCCAAGCTGACGGCGCGGCGCGGCGCCTACGACGTCGCCGTCGACGCGACGGCGACCTACTTCCGGGACCCCAGGGCCGCGCCGCGCGTGCGCCGCTGCTTCGACGACGGCGCGCTCGCGCGGACGACGCTCCTCGCGGTGCTCCGCGACCCCGCGGCGCGCCTCTACAGCGAGTATGCGGTGATCCGCTCGCGACAACCCGACCGCTTCGGGAACGCCACCTTCGCGCGCGCGGTCGACGGCTGGCTCTCGGACCGCGGCGACGCCGAGGGCCGGCGGCTCCTCGCCGTGGGCCACTACGTGGACCAGCTCCTCGCCTGGCACCGGCACCTGCCCCGCGAGGCGCTGTACGTCGTGCCCGCGGCCGCGCTCGACGACGACGCGACCCACGTCCGCGAGATCGCGCGGCGCGTGCTCACGCGCGCGCGCGTCTCCGCGCACCTCCACAACGTCTCCGCGCCGCCGCGGCGGCCGCCGGGCGAGGCCGCGGCCTACGCGGCGCGCACGGGCGACGCCATGGACGACGCGACGCGGCGGCGGCTCGCGGCGTACTACGCGCCCCACGACGCGCGGCTCTGGGCCCACCTCGCGGACCACCGGGACCTCGTCATCCCCCGGGCCTTCCAGGTCGCGCCGGGGGACCCGACCACGCACTGGTGGTAACCTTCGATCGGGTTCTCGTAGTTATGGTCACTTCAACTGAAGTTCAAAGACGGACTGGCACTCTGCCACTGCCGGCTAAGCTAAAGTTAACCGGTTCAAAGAGCAGCGAAGCCGTGAAGTTTTGACGTCACGGCTTTGCCTCGCTCCGGGCTCGGACGCGCGATGCAGCGGTTCCAAGACTTGGCGCGGCGCTCGGTCTGTGGACCATGTCGCGCCTTGGGCCCGGCTGTGAGTCGCTCGGGAAAGACCATCGGTCGAAGGCGAGCAACTTAGTTCGCGTCGGGGCAGCCCGTGGATGACGAGAACGGCCATTAACGGTGGGGGGCGACCGACGAGGGGCCCAACTTAGTTCCAGGGGGCGTTTGGGCTGTTAGACTTCGAAGAGACCCCCCCTGGAATGATGTTCCCGAGGGCACTGTCTCGGTTCTAACAGCCCAAACGCCTCATGCATTGCGCGGTGAGCACCGTGTCACCCGCGGCGCCGCACGCCTCCCGGAGGTGGTGAGGTGATCTCGATCAAATCCACTCGAGCCGAAGAGCTGCCGCGAGGGCATCTGGTCGCCCCCATGACGAACGATTCCCGACGCTCTGTGACTCGAAGGGGACCGAAAATCGGGTCGGGGGAAGCTGCCGCGCCTCATTCCACCCCCTGGGGCTGCCCGTTTGCGTCGCCTCGCAATCGTCCGGATGTCACGTCTTTTCATGTGCCTCACCCACATGTTTGCGGACCTCAAAGCCACTGGGATCGTTGCACGTCGCTGCATATTCGAGGAGCGCGGGGCCCTCTAAGGTGGAGATTCCATCATCGGCCGCTGAAATGCTCGCACGAGAGACCGTCTCTTAGCTACGGATTACTGCAGCATTGCTTCATAGATGTGCTTGTTCAACGACGGCTCATTCGCAGCCGTAGCCGGTGGTGGCGCCAGATGTGCTCGGCCACGCTGAGCAGCTCCGTTGCTAGAGGTGCTGCGCAAGCCGAGCGACGAGCTCCGTTGCTAGCGGTGCACACTGCGCAAGCCGAGCGCTGAGCGGCTCCGTGCGAGCGGTGCACACCCGAGCGACGGCAGCTCCGTGCGAGCTGTGCACGCAACAACCCTCGCAATGTGGCTCCTCTTGCTGCTCGCGCCATCAGCGCGCGCACTCCACGCCGTCAACGTCGAGGTGCGGCGCAGCCTCAGCGTCCCGCCCGCCGCGGCGAGCGCCGCCTGGCTCGACTACACCTGGTCCGGCGGCGGCGGCCTGCCGGGCCTGCTGCTCCGCGAGCCGTCGGACGCCGCCGTGCCGCGCGAGCGGCTCATCCTGCCGCTCGGTCTGCGCGAGACGCTCGACGAAGCCGCCGGGACGACGCTCCGCTACCGCGTGACCGGCGCGGGCCTCGCGCGCGACGTCGTCGACGGCTCGCACCGCGGCGTCGTGGCCTTCGAGGAAACGGACGACGGCTGCGAGATGGTGTGGACGGCCGACTACGAGGTGTCCGCGCGGCGGACGTTCTGGCAAAAGGCGACGGAGGTCCTCGTCGGCGCCGCGGGCGACAACCTGCAGCGCTACGTCGCCGCGCCGAGCCGGCCGCGCTGGTTCGACCCGCTCGACGAGTTCGGCCTCGGTTCGTCCGTCGACCGGAGCAAACCGCTGCTCCTCGTGCTCCCGGGCCTCGACGGCTCCGCGGTGACCGCGTGGACGCAGTACCCGGAGCTCGCGACGGGCTACGAGGTCCGCGCGCTCGCGGTGCCGCCGAACGCGCGCGTCGACTTCGACGGGCTCGTCGCCGCGGTCGTCGCCGCCCGGAGGGCGCGGACCGAGACGTCTACGTGCTCGGCGAGAGCATCGGCGCGGGCGTCGCGCTCGCGGCCGGGAAACAGTCCAAGGCCGTCGACGGCCTCGTCCTGGTGTCGCCGGCGACGTCCTGGGCCGACGCGCCCCTCGGCGGCGCGCGGGAGGCGCTGCTGAACGCGCCGGACCTCGTTTTGATGGCCGTCGTCGCGATCAGCGCGTACCAGCTCCTCGACTCCGACCAGCTCGCGACGACGGTCCGGCGCGTCGCGACGGGCGAGCGGTCGCCGCTGCTCGCGGGCGAGGCCCGGGAGGCCTACGCGTGGCGCGTCGTGCGCGAGCTGCCCGCGCGGCTCGCGCTCGAGCGCGGGCGGTCGACGCGGCGCCGCGGTCCGGGCGACGCCGCGGTCCGGGCGACGCCGCGCCGCGTCCGCCGCGACGGCGGCGC